TACCAATATTCATCTTTTTTCGCCTCAGTTGGGCCCAAATCCCTAGCCCATCCCCTTGCAGCCCCTCAATCTTAACCCACTTGGACACCTAGGCTTCTGGAGCTGTCTGGAGTTCGCACCCTAGCTGGAAAAGGACACAGTGGTCTGGAGATGAGGCACATGGCTTCTTCCATTCTTGGTAGGCCTGATGCCATGAAGGTGGGTGGGACTTCTGAACAGGACAGGAAGGGAGAGTGAACAGCCCACATCAGGCTGAGTATGGGCTCAATAGCCCAGGACGAGAAAGAAGAAAAGGGAGAGGAGGATGGCTACTGTTTGCCACAGAATTTCCCTCCAGGATTCTGAGATAGTTGGGCCTCCTCACTGCTTTCAAAATTAGCATGAGCCTTTGTAGTTCTGAAGCCACTTCCCTCCCTTTCTCAGGATTCTTGAGAAAGGACAGAGAATTCCTCAAATCTACCTTTCCTTTCTTCCCACAGATCCTAAAGGGATCAGACTTCCTATTCTCAGCCACCTGTATTTTGTTAATCCAGGCAGACTGGGTGTGCTTCAGCTCTATGGGCTTTAGAACCTCACCCTCACTCCTAAACGTCTTTGTCAGGCTGGCACTTGTGTTCCCTGATAAGTTCTTCCAATTGCACACTATCTTCCAATGGCTGGGGTCTCCAATTCAGAGCCGAGAAATGCATATATCCTGATGTCAGTGGTTACCTGGGATGACCAAGGTCCCTTCGAAGGCACTCAGGGTTTCCTCCCTCCAAAAGTTGTTTACAATTGCCAAGTGAGGTCTGGAGGTGAAAATTTCAGACATTATCAGTGAGATGTAAAGTGTCACATTTTTGGAAAGCATTTTGGTAATATGCACCCAGAAACTGGAAAATATGAGTTATTCCATTTCTAGGATTCTAGCATAAGTTAAAAAACCAGAGACTCAGACAAAGATTTGGGTATAAAGACATTAATCACAGCACCATTTACAACAGCATATGGTAGTGACTTGTAGTATAGTAGGCTAACCATAGGATAGGTAATAATGTTATAGCCATACCACAGGATATGACTATGTCAATAATAAAAAGGTCTTTATACATTTTGATTACATGGAATAATCAGGATAAAGTAGGATACAGAGTAATTATGAAATATCCCATTTGTATAAACACAATATTCACCCCATGTATATACAGAAAAATAAAACTGAGAAAATACACAAACTGTATTTCTACATTTGAATAGAAAATGTATTATTTTTCCGGCCAGGCTCGGTGGCTCAGCCTGTAATCCCAGCAATTTGGGATGCTGACACGAGTAGACTGCCTGAGCCCATGGATTGGAGACCAGCCCAGGCAACTTGACAAGACCTCATCTCCACAATAAATCAAAAATTAGCCGGGTGTGGTAGCATATACCTGTAGTTCCAGCTACTTGAAAGGCTGAGGTGGAAGGATCGCCAGAGCCCAGTAGGTAGAGGCTGTGGTGGCCGGGAACGGCCACTGGACTCCGGTCTGGGTGACAGAGTGAGACTTCAACTCAGAAAAAATAAAAGAAAAAGAAAATTTATTATTTTTCCTTTTGAACAGATGACCTCAGAGAAAATTATTGATTATAAATACTAATAATTATTTCCATTATGGGATTCTGTGTGACTTATTTTCTTTTCATTTTCTAAGTTTTTTTACTTATCTATTTTTAATCAGGAAAGAAGAAAACAATCTTTTTTGTGTGTGTAGGAGTCTCACTCTGTCGCTTAAGCTGGAGTGCAGTGGCACGCTCATGGCCACTGCAGCCTCAACTTGCTGGACTCAGGTGATCCTTCTACCTCAGCCTTCTAAGTAGCTGGAATTACAGGCATGCACCACCATGCCTGGCTAATTTTTTGACTTATTGTAGAGACAGGGACTTGTCATGTTGCCCAGGCTGGTCTCGAACCTGTGAGCTCAGGCAATCCTCCGTCTCCCAAAGTGTTAGAATTACAGGCATGAGTCACCGTGTCTGGCTGAAAAAAACAATCTTAAGGAAGATTGCCATGTGCCAGCCATACTGGAGGATGGTCTTTCTCCCACCATTTCACACCGAATTGGCCTCACCTGGAACCCAGACATCTCTCCCTTTTGGCATTGGACTGACCCCTTCCCATCACCTCAGTGTATGAGACAACAGAAAATCATCTTACTATCAATGGAAGATAGATAGAAGCGACATCATTTGGGGAAGAAAATACCCTTACCGTCACACCAAGACCTAAAAATATTATGAATTACTTCCATCCATCTCCACTTCATGACTTCAGAAAATAAATGCTGAGGGTGCTTGGATATGAGGTCATAAAGTTCTTTTTTTATGTGTCAGAGTCTCACTCTGTTACTCATGTTGGAGTGCAGTGGCATGCTCACAGCCACTGCAGCCTGAACCTCCTGGGTTCAGGCGATTCTTCTGCTTCAGTCAAGTAGCTGGAACTACAGGCGTGTGCCACAATACCTGGCTAATTTTTTTGATTTATTATAGAGATGAGGTCTTGCCAAGTTGCTCAGGCTGGTCATGAACCCCTGGGCTCAGACAATCTTCTTGCTTCTGTCTCCCAAAGTGCTGGGATTTCAGGTGTAAGTCACCATGCCTGGCCTAATTTCTCTCGATTTATTGTAGAGATCTCATCAAGTTGTCCACGTTGGTCTTGAACCCCTGGGCTCAGGCAATCCTCTCGCCTCTGCCCCCTAAAGTATTGGAATTACAGGTGTGAGCCACTGCATCCGCCCATAAAGTTCTAAATGACACCCCACACCTGGTTTGTTTTGGTGAGAGCTGGGACCTCTATGATGGTAAGCACCGAAACCTATGACCACAGCTATTGGTACTGTTTCAAAAACACAGTATCCACCCTTACGCCCTGATGAAAGATTTGTCCAGCAGCCTGGGTGTTGTGGTTCCTGGGCTCCAGACCCTAAGGGTAACTCATAGCCACTCCCAGGTTTTGCCTCCTGGCCTCAGTTTCCCTGGCTTACTCTGTTGGTACTCCCCACCTACTGTACAGGGTGTTAATAGGGGTGAGGTGCTTTGAACTCCTCAGATGAAAGAGGCTGGGAAGCAGCACCCAGTTATTATCCACTATGCAGTCAGGCGTGGGAGCTGAGGTTGGCTGCTTTCATATCATTCCAGCCACAGTAGCCTCCTCATTCGTCTGCCTTCAGCTCTGGCTGCAAAAACTGGAAAGAAAACCTCAGTCACTCAGTCATCCCCATTTCAATGCTGTTTCAGAATGGATTTTCCTAAACTGAATTTGCCAACTGCCCAACCACTAGGGACCTATCATGATTCAGTAATACTTTACATGTGCCTAAATTCTTTCTCCTGATTGGTTACATATGCAGTGGGATAAGGGCTATGACTTTTCACCAACAAGTATACCAAAGGAGGGATTCTCATAATTCAGTAAGCACAGTGGGCTATGAGAAAGCCAGACTGACCAGAAGTTCAAACTCTTCATCTTTTGGGTTTGTTACCACAAAACAGGGAATGGCTTAATATTACCCATCTTGTCTACCTCTAAAGATCATTTGTATGAAAGCACTTTGTAAAATACCAAACCCTTCATATGTGTTCAAAGGCCTGAATGTCTGCAAATAGAACTTTTGACACGATAGTCTTCTCTAGGCCATCAGTCCTTTTCCTGCCAGCAGGTTACAACAGCAAAAAAATAAAAAATAAAAATAAAAATAAGCCTGGGGTGCCCTCTACTGGCTGAAAATATAAACTGCATCTGACCAGCTGCAAGAGCAAATAAGCAAACATGAATATTTCCCAACTTCAAGCTATCTTACTTTTTGCTACACCTTCATAGCTGTTATCTGTAATTTAATACTTTCCTTTAAATAACTCACTTCATATAATTTCACCTTTGAAGTAAATGTTTAATAACTACTATAAATGGAAAACTAGTTAACACTTATCTAAAATAGAATAAAATCAAAAGATAAATACACTGAAATTAATAAGGTCTAACTAAGAAGTGTTGACTGTGAAAGCTCAAGATTGAGACTCACTGGTAAAATTGAAGACTGTCAGTCATGGTGGTACACACCTGTAGTCCTAACTACTAAGGAGACTGAGACAGAAAGAGGATTTTTTTTTTGAGTTGGAGTCTCTCTTGTCACCCAGACTAAAGTGCAGTGGCACGCTCATGGCCACCACAGCCTCGACCTGCTGGGCTTAGGCGATCCTTCCGCATCAGTCTTCCAAGTAGCTGGAACTACAGATACATGCCACCACACCTGGTTAGTATTTTTGTGACTTACTGTAGAGACTAGGTCTCACCAAGTTGCCCAGGCTGGTCTCAAACCACCAGGCTCAGGAAATTCTCTTGCCTTGGCCTCCCAAAGTGCTGGGATTACAGGCTAAGTCACCATGCCCAGCCAAAAGGATTGTTTAAGCCCAGGAGTTTGAGTCCAGCCTGGGCAACACAGCAAAGACATCATCTCCACAAAAACACCTGAAGATTAACAAAAGCACATGACTAGAGACTCATGCATTAGGGAAACATTAACCTGTATGAAGAAACAGGACTAGCCAGCATGATGGCTCATGCCTGTAAGCTCAGCACTTTGGGAGGTGGCAGTGAGAGGATTGCCTGAGCCTAGCAGTTCAAGACCAGCCAGGGCAACTTGACGAGGCTTTATCTCTACAATAAAGAAAAATTAGCAGTGGCACACACCTGTAGTTCCAGCTACTTGGAAAGCTGAGGCGGAAGGTTTACCTGAGCCCAGCAGGTCGACACTGGGGTGGCCGTGAGCATGCCACTGCACTCCAGCCTGGCAACAGAGAGACTCTGACTCAAAAAAAAAAAAGAAAAAGGAAAAGAAAAAGAAATAAAAAGAAACAGGACTCTTCCAAGGGAAGGTGACATTCCCTTGTTCTACCCCAAACCCCTGGGCCTGGAGGATAGAAGAAAAATTTGGAAGCCACAAAAAGAAAAAAAAAACCCACTCTTTTTTCCACATGCTACTCAGGTAGCATATTCCATCACAATCTGAGTGGGTCCAGTGCTCAACATCCTGGGGGCCAGGCCCAGAGCTCAAGGGCACCAATGAGGGTGTGGTTAGGTATTCTGCTTGGTGCCATTTCTGGCTTTTGGGCTAGAAGTCCTTTGCAGAGCTGTGTGTCCCCTTGCCAGCCTCCCAGCTCTGGCTGGGAGGATTTCCTCTCGAGTCTGTGGCTTGCTGAGCTGTTCGCTGCTCACCAGGAGCCTCCACTTTCCTCTGTGCCGGCTTATGCATCCTGCTTTTCAGGTCCCAGTTTGTTGTTATAGCTGCATTGCTTCCTGTTCCACTGACTGGTCCGAGGGTGCCAAGTATTTCTCCTGGATGCCCAGTGTGCTGAGGAAGGGTACGTCAAGGCAGATAGCATAGGCAGAGGATGGGGAACTGGTCTGGGCAGGATCTGACCTCTACTGATGCCTACCCTCCAACCATGTCTACCTTCCACCCTCTCTTCCTCATAATTATAGCTTCAGGCCATAGATAGTAAGGACCAATCAGGTATGAAAAGCCTTCAAAAGCATACAGACTCAGCCTTTTCCCCACCATTACTGAGGATCAAAGGGCCAGAGACTGCTAACCCTGGAGCTTTGTGTTATGACACATGCTCTGGAACCAAACCCAGGAGATTCAAGTCCTGATTTTGCCATTTCCTTTTTCTGTCTGTAAAATATCTCTTGAGAGCTGTTTTAAAGATCAAATGAGTCAACTCCTTCAGGTCCTCCCCCACTGTGGGAACGTTTCTGTCTTCTCAATAAACCCTACTTTCTCAAAAAAAAAAAAAATCAAATGAGATAATGAATATGAAATACCTAGCATGGTACCTGGCACACAGTGGGTGCTCAATTAATGTTGTGACTTCTCTTTTTCTGTCAAGGGAGGGAACTTATGAAAGCTCAAAGAAAAATAAAAATTTCTGCTTGGGTCACAGTGCCTCCTATCTCTCTCTGGGATAGCAGGAAAATTGGGCTGGGAGGACACAAATCAGATTTATAAAGGAAAAGACTGAAACACTGCTGATGAAGTCCTCTGAGGCTGGCTAGCCTGATGTCGAGGGTCTGATTAGGAGGTGGGTTTTTTGTTTGTTGTTTGAGTTGAAGTCTCACTCTGTTGCCCAGGTTGGAATGCACTGGCACACTCATGGCCATCTCAGCATCGACCTGGTGGGCTCAGGTGATCCTTCCGCCTCAGCCTGCCAAGTAGCCAGAATTACAGGTACATGCTACCATGCCCGCCTTATTTTTTATTTATTGTAGAGATAAGGTTTCGCCAAGTTGCCTGGGCTGGTCAATCCACTTACCTAGGCCTCCCAAAGTGCTGGGATTACAGGCTGAGCTGAGCCTGGCCTGTGGTGGGGTTTAGCCATAGATATGTTGAGCATGTTAGGACAACATGGCCGTTCTACTACATGACTTCAAAGTCAGAAAGAACTAGATCTGAATCCAGGAAGAACTAGATTTGAATTGTTCTTCCAACATATCCTGGGAGAAAGACTTTAAGCTGGTTACTCTCAGATCCCCAGTTGCCTCATCTACAAAAGGGATTGGAATGAGAATTAAATGACTTTGCAAGTGGAGTACTTAATCAGCAAATGATGTTCGGGTTGCAGACCTTTCTTTATCATCATCTTTTTTTGAGTTGGAGTCTCACTCTGTCACCTAGGCTGGAGTACAGTGGCATGCTCACCGCAGACTCAACTTCCTGGGTTCAGGTGATCCTTTCACCTCAACCTTCCAAGTAGCTGGGACTATGGGCACATGCCACCGTGTCTGGCTAATTAAAAAAATTTTTTTTTGTAGAGATGAGGTCTCACCAAGTTGCCCGGACTGGTCTCAAACCCCTGGGCTAAGGCAATCCTCTCGCCTCAGCCTCCCAAAGTGCTGGGATTACAGGCATGATGAGTTTTTACACCATCTCTTATGGATCCATTAATCAAAACCTATCTTACTGCTACTCAAACTCTCCTTGAACGTGTGCCCCATCCAGTTCACTTTTCCTCAGTTGGCCCTGAGGATCACTCAAGATCAGTGAAATCCATCTAGTCTCCAGTCTGAAGTCCATGTTCCTAAGCAGGGCACATGAAGCCACATATCTACCTATGACTGGCCCTACTGCTGTTCCCCAGTCAGAAGCCCTGCTCTGATCACAATTCATGCCACTACTTGCAACCTCCAAAACCTCTCAGTCTTGAACTCCCACGCTTTTGCCTATACTGTTTTCTTGGACTTGCATTCCCTTTCCCTCATCAGCCTAGCTAGCCCTCACTTTGAGGTTATGCAACTCAAGTGCCATTCCTACATGACGCTTTCCTTACCCACTCAACCTTTAGCAGAGCTGACTACTCCCTTCTTTGTACCAGTCCCTACTGTCTTATACACAGAGGGAAGTTGAACCTTAAGGGGCTTAGAGTGGGGGCAGAATCTAAAATTAACACAAATTTTGTTTGTTTTTTCCAAGTTGGGAGTCTCACTCTTTGTCACCCAGGCTGGACTGCAGTGGCATGCTTACGGCCACCGCAACCTTGACTTGCTGGGCTCGGGCAATCCTTTCACTTCAGTCTTCCAAGTAGTTGAAACTACAGACATGCGCCACCACGCCTGGCTAGTTTTTGTGATTAATTGTAGAGACAAGGTCTCATCAAGTTGCCCTAACTGGTCTTGGATTCCTGGGCTCAGGCAATCCTCTTGCCTCGGCCTCCCAAAGTGCTAGGATTACAGGCTGAGCCACTCTGCTCAGCCAGCACAAATGTTTATAATTAAAAATACTGGCTGGGCATGGGGGCTCACATCTGTAATCCCAGCACGTTGGGAGGCCAAGGCAAAAAGGACAACTTGGGCCCAGGAGTTCAAGATCAGCCTAGGCAACACAGTCAGATATGATCTCTACAAAAATAAAAAATAAGCAAGGCATGCTGGTATAGGCCCTGTTGTCTCAGCTACTAGGGAGGCTGAGGGGAAGTATTGCCTGAGCTCAGGAAGTCAAGGCTACAGTGAGCTGTGATCCTGCCACTGCACTCCAGCCTGATTGACAGTGAGACTCAGCTTAAAACAAAAAACAAAGCAAAAAAAAAAACCCCTTGAAAATTCCTGAAATAATTTTTTAAATGCAGTATACATGGTTTGTAAATAGAATCCTGTACTGAATATGTAAAGTACAGATGATTTGACTTATGATGGGGTTATATCCTGATAAACCACTCTAAGTTGAAAGTATCTCAAGTTGAAAATGCATTTAATATACCTAACTTACCAAACAACATAGCTTAGCCTAGCCTACCTTAAACATGCTCAGAACAGTTACATTAGCTTACAGTTGGGCAAAATCATTTAACACAAAGCCTATTTTATAATAAAGTGTTGAATATCTCATATAATTTTTTGAATACTCTACTGAAAGTGAAAAACAATGGTTGACAGGCACCCAAAGCATGGTTTCTACTGAATGTGTTATTGCTTTCACACCATCATGAAGTTGAACCACTCTTGGTTGGGAATTGTCTGTACAGTGTGCAAAATATCAGCAGGGTGCAGTGGTTCACGCCTATAATTCCAGCACTTTGGGAGACCAAGGTGAGAGGATTGCCTGAGCCCAGGGGTTCATGACCAGCCTGGGCAATTCTACAGTAAATCAAAAAATAAGCTGGGAGCTGGGCTCGGTGGCTCAGCCTGTAATCCCGCGCCTTTGGGAGGCTGAGGTGAGTGGATTGTCTGAGCCAGCGGGTTCGAGACCCGCCTGGGCAACTTGGCCAGACCTCATCTCTACAATAAATCAAAAATTAGCCGGATGTGGTAGTGCATGCCTGTAGTTCCAGCTACTTGGAAGGCTGAGGCAGAAGGATTGCCGGAGCCCAGCAGGTCGAGGCTGCAGTGGCTGGGAGTGGCCACTGCATTCCAGTCTGGGCGACAGAGTGAGACTCCAACTCAAAAAAAAAAAAAAAAAGCTGGGCATGCCTATGGTTCCAGCTACTTGTAAGGCTAAGACAGAAGGATCACCTGAGCCTAGCAGGACAAGGCTGCGGTGGCTATGAGTGTGCCACTGCACTCCAGCCTGGGTGACAGAGTGAGACTCTGACAAAAGAATCACACTACCTTTTTTTTTTTTTTTGGTCAGAGTCTCACTCTGTCACCCAGGTTGGAATGCAATGGCACGCTCCCAGCCACCGCAGCCTGGACCTGCTAGGCTCTGGCAATCCTTCCACCTCAGCCTTCCAAGTATCCAGAGCTACAGGTGCGTGCTACCATGCCCGGCTAATTTTTGATTTATTGTAGAGATGAGGTCTTGCCAACTTGCCAGGGTGGGTCTCGAACCCATGGGCTTAGGCAATCCACTTGTCTTGGCCTCTCAAAGTGCTGAGATTACCGGCTGAGACACCGAGCCTGGCCACAACACTACTTAAACTGCTCCTCCCCTTTTTTGAGTTATTGATTTTTTTTTTTAGTTTTTTTGATTTATTGTAGAGATGAGGTCTTGTCAAGTTGCCCAGGCTGGTCTCAAACCCACGGGCTCAGGCAGTCCTCTCACCTTGGCCTCCCAAAGTGCTGGGATTCTAGGCATGAGCCACCTCGCCCAGACGCTCCTCCCTTCTTTTGCTGAGCACATGCACACAGTTGAATCTGCCAACATTAACTGCAAGCATGAGGCAAGTCTTTGATCCCTTCATCAGAGACTGCACTCTCTACTGCTTTCATTTATAACTCATTTGTCTCCCGTGAGTTTTGTTTCCCACATATGAATGGGCTTGACACAGATCAGTGAGTGTTGGCTGGCATTATTTTCTTCCATGCCCCCTTGTCTCCAACATCCTGTGTAGATGCTGAATCTCTCAGAACATCAACCTAGAGGGCCTGGACTTCCCTGTTCTGCCTCACACATGGCCTCTGCTTAAGTCACAGTGTCAACATTTTCTTTCTGATGCATATCTATGCATGACCTTAGCCTCATCCTTACTGGTCACTAATCCAACTCCAAAGGTCTTAGTTGCCTCTCAGACAGCTCTGGGTGTCTCATGGCCTCCTGAACACAAAACATTTGCCAGCTCTCATCCCTTTCATCCATGTGACAAACCTCCCCCATCCTCCCTTTCTTGCCTTAGTGACCAGCATAACCAACCACTCCACTGTCGAAACCGGAGACCTGGGAGGCTAAATTCTCCTCCAACTTCATCTATCCTGTAACCATTCAGATAATGACCCTTATATTTAATCTCCTAAATATTTTCCAATCCACATTTCCTCTTTCTAGTCTCACTACAAACATTTCATCCTTTCTTACCTAGCAAGACTATAAAACTCTTCTGCTCCCAATCACAATCCTTAAATGCATTTTCCACACTTGCAGAGGTTTTTCTAACATGGACATCTGATCATGTAGTGTCTTGATCAACAGTACTGATTGAATACTGGTTCCTCTGCCCACCCATAAACTGAAGTCCACAGTCCTTAGCAGGGTACTTGGGCCCTCCATTGCCAGCCCTGCCTGCACCCCAAAAAGGCCCCTTCCCCTTCACATGCAGCACATCATGCAAACTGAAGCTTCTACATTTCTCCCACGTGACCAATGCCCTCTTATTTCTGGGCCTCTGTATTTGTTACTCCTGCTGATCAATATCCTCCCTTGTCCTCAATACAACCAACCCTGAAGCTTTCTAAGGGACCAGCCTTTGCACATGAAAGACAGTCATCAGGGAGACCTCTCAATATGAAACGAGTTATCCACAAGGGCGGCACTTCCTTAGCCATTCCTGAGTCTCATGTCTTGTCCTTTCGTCTATGGTCAGGAAGCTGGTGAAACTAGAGAGCAAGGATACGAGGAGAAATGGAAATCTGTTCCCATTGCAGCAGACATCATGGCCTCCAGGTTTCGCTGTTCTTGGACCCCAAAACAGTAGCCATTGGCTTTATCGACGGCCTGCAGAACTCGCTGGATGCTCTCCTTGTCCTGAGCAGGAAGAAAAGGAATAGCTGTGAGTGAAACAGAGGAGTGTACAACTACTTGCTATCTCCAAATGCACCCTCCTCCATCTTGCCTCTGTATGTGTACCCTCAAGCTTCGAGTAGTTCTATAAGTCCCCAGAGGCCCCATTTTTCCTGACCACCAACCCACCCAGATTAGAACAGAAAGCTCCTCTCTGCACATCCACAGCCTCCTGGGTTTATCCTATTATTAGATGGTATCCTTATCCTCTTATTAAATGCCTATTGAGCCGGGCTTGGTGGTTCAGCCTGTAATCCTGCGCTTTGGGAGGCTAAGGTGAGTGGACTGCCTGAGCCCGCGGGTTCGAGACCCGCCTGGGCAAGTTGGCGAGACC